AAGATGACATGATGCAATGCACATGATGCAAAAATGAAAGTATCGAACCAAACAAATCACACGACGAAACCCAGAAACCCTGGAAGGCATCTGAAGCTCCGGTCTTGAGGCGTCACAAGAAGGGAGGAACAACAAAAGAAAGCAGAGGAAGCTGCCAGGAAGAGACATCAGCAAGAGGAGAAGAAAGCACTGAAAGCATAGAGGAAGAGGCAGTCACTAGCTCAGAAGAGAGAGAAGAGAAAAGAAGAAGCTCCAATAGCAAAGAAAGCTAAGGAAGAGACAAGGCAGATCATTATGGAGACCAACAAAGCTGTGGCTGCTGAGAATAAAGCAAGGCAGCAAGCTCAGAAGAATGCTCAAAAGGAGGATGCAGCAGCAAGAAAAGGAGCAGGCAGGGTAGCTGCTGCTGAGTCTAGGAAGGAGGAAATGAGGCTAATAGGTATTGCCCTTGGCAAAAGGCCTGCAGGTCCACAGTCTGATTCAGATGATGATCTTGTGCTTCCCAGTAAGACCAGAAGCACTTCAATGTTTGACATCTTCAGATGATGTACCTGTTGTGTAGCATGTTGTACTTCTTAATCTCCAAGGCATGATGTAGTAGTATGTGACTGATGAGAAATGTTATAATTGATCCTTACTGATGTGTACACATGAGTATGGATCAATTGTTGATCATTTTGTAACTGAATGCACTTGTGTATTTTGGTACTTCCCAGATATGTTTTGTTGGTATAAACCATAATTTTGATGGTACTTCCCAGATATGGAGTGCTAATTATGCATATGCTTTTCTCCCTCAATGCACTTGTGTAACTGAATTGTATGTGCTACAATCATAACAATGGTCAAATGTACACAGAAGCCAAATATGACAGCAAGATGATAACAACATCAAATAGCTTTCCCATGTACACAGAAGCCAAATATGGTAACAAAAAAAATGATCTCTTCATATGACAGCAAGATGATAACTTGCAGAACATTAACTTCCATTTTATCTGCATCGTGTCCTAATGTACACAGAATCAACTTGCATAAAAATGATATCTTCATATGACATCATCAATAGTTTCAACAAGCCAAATTAACTTTCATTTGCAGTAACAGATTGTCACTTGCTTACATATTGCAAAAGCATCACTTACAATGCAAAAGATTGTCACTTCAGACTAACAACACTACATCAACTCCAGCTGCAAACTGGAAACTACATCAACTTTAGACTTATAATGCAAAAGCATCACTTCATACTACCAGTTCATCTCCTAACAAACTAGGCATCATGCTACTGGAAACACTGCATCAACTCCATCACTTCTTCAGCAGAGAAATAGCTACGAGCACTGCAAGTACAATGAGTGCTGCCACCAGTGCCTTCATCATCACCAATATTTGATTGGCTAATCCCACGAGTGCCTCTGCTTGCTGATTTCTCATTTGAGCTGCAACTCTTCCATGAATTCCATCTTCAAAGCCTGAAAGATCAACTGCACCTCCACCTGCATATCTTCGATTCCTTGCTCGCATCAGCTCTTCCCTCTTATCCTCTGCAGCTCCTAATGCACGTACGGCTTCATTGCCAACGTGAAACTGATTATCCAGTAAGTAGACAACGTATTACAACTCCCAATGCCAGAATGGTCCTGAAGATCAAAAGAAACGAACAGACGCCAAAAATCACCATCACAAATTCCACAAAAATCGACCAAAATTAACAAATGCCAACGGATGCACTCCACTTACACCAACATGACACCTGCAGAAGACCCAACCCTTGTGCTTCTCCGTGTTCGAGAGATAGAACTTCACACGAGCGCAACAAGAAGGGCATCTTATCAGCGGCACCACCGAACGATCGCCGAGCGATGACCTGACCGAGCTTGTCGACATGGCGGAGCGATGAAGAGGACGGCGGCGGTAGCGGCAAGCTGCAGGAAGAGGGCGGCGGCAAGCAGCAAGGAAGAGGGCGGCGGCAAGCAGCAGGGGGAGGACGTCGGCCTCGGCGGCAGGGAATGTGGAATTAGGGATTTGGCATCGGCGGCACAGATATTTCAGGGTGGTGGATGGAAATTAGGTGCGCCGGCCTAATTTACATAAATAACCCCCCGTGAACGCCAGCTGTCGCCTCGGATTGGTCAACAAGTGGTCAAATGGAGCGGGGACGAGTGGCGTACGATGAACAGTGACCATACAATCACGTGTAGACGTATTGAGTGACCGTAATGGTCGTATTTTGAGGTACAGTGACCAAAACATGCTTTCTTCGCAAGTTCAAGTACTGGCAGTGTATTTTACTCTTAATAAATTTCCATTTCGTTACCTGCAAAAAAAATCCCTTTCGTACAAAACAATTTCGAAAGACAATACTAAAAAAGTTCTCACCCAAGGGACCGAGTGCTCCAGAGTCCACGGCTCCACGCACCGCCTAGAAAATATCGGAAGGACCTCGCTGCAAATGGTGGCTGCGTAAAGCGGCAAAACTAGATCATTTCCTCCGACCCCCTGCTCTGCTCGTCTGCCGCCGCCCACACCCCAAACCCTAACCCTACCGCCGCCGCCGCCATGGCCGACCCGCGGATGTTCCCATCGGGATCAAACGGCCCGGAAGACCACGCCCCCGGCCGCCGGAAGTACAACCCCTACCAGGACCTCAACATGCCCTACAACTACAAGAACCTCTACGACCTCCCCACCTCGCCGGAGTTCCTCTTCGAGGAGGAGTCCGCGGTGCAGCGCCGATCCTGGGGCGAGAACCTCACGTACTACACCGGCATCGGGTACCTCTCTGGCGCCGTGGGCGGCGCCGCCCTCGGCCTCCGCGACGCCGCCGCGGGCGCGGAGCCCGGGGAGACCGCCAAGATCCGCGCCAACCGCTTGCTCAACGCCTGCGGCAGCTCCGGCCGCCGTTACGGCAACAGGCTCGGGGTCATCGGGCTGATGTACGCCGGGATGGAGAGCGGCATGGTCGCGGCGCGCGACCAAGACGACTGGATCAACAGCGTCGCCGCAGGGCTCGGCACCGGCGCGCTCTTCCGCGCCGCTAACGGGCCGCGGTCTGCCGCCGTCGCGGGCGCTGTCGGCGGGGTCCTTGCTGCCGCCGCCTTGGCCGGGAAGCAGCTTGCAAAGCGATACGTACAGGCAATATGAATCTCTTCCTGTTCGCTCAGATCAATGGATCAAATCAATCAGTTGCCAAGAATGGATTATTTTTGCGTTTGTCATTCTCCAGTTTAGCTGCCCCATTAGAGAATGCATAATATCTATGCTGTGTTAGTCACATGTATACGATCGAATGGATGATTTTGGCTTTCTTACAATGTCGGATGCAAGCATGATGTTATACATTTTTCGGGTGTTGCTGAGCAATAAGAGTATTTGATATTTTGCAGCGATTACTGTTGTGAAACATGTACTGCAGTATTTAGTAAGAATGTTCAGTTTGATGAGGATAAGAGTGCATTGTGGATTACTCAGGTTTTCATGCCTGTGCCGTGTGTTAATTTGCCTGTCTTCTGATGTGGTTTGTGGGGCTTCAGAATTTTATGAAGCTGTTCTGAGGTTGATGGTTTATAGCTATGCTCGCCATGGGCACCTATGTTCTGTTGCTGAGCAATAAGAGTCTATTTGATATTTTGCAGCGATTACAGTTGTGAAACATGTACTGCAGTATTTAGTAAGAATGTTCTTCAGATTGATGAGGATAAGAGTGCATTGTGGATTACTCATTGTGTCTTCTGATATTGTTTGTGGGGCTTCAGAATTTCATGAAGCTGTTCTGAGGTTGATGGTTTATAGCTATGCCTGCCATGGGCACCTATGTTCTTTTGCGACTCGTTTGAGAGTCTGATGAAAAACCATTGTGTTTTGAGTTACTCCGGCTGATCATTTCGAATATCTCAGCGCTCCATTTGACCCTAACCCTTGTATCTGTGGTTATCACTGCTTATATTTTCTTGTGATGTACTATGATGTAAGCATTGGCTGTTAATTCTGCTCTTGCCCTGATTTGAGCTTGTTTTGGTGTGTGGCCTTCTGACTGCTGTTCAAATATGCAAGTCACTTTTTGGGAAATGGTTGCATAATTGTGCAGGCACCGGGTTTGATTCAAAAAGCTTTGGTTGAGTTTGATTCAAAACCGTTTTAATTGGGGAAATGATTCTGATCAGCCGGTCGATCTAGCACGTCTCTCTTCCTCATCTTTTTTTTTCCAACAAAGATGTTGCATAACAGTGGCAGCGAAAGATGATTGTGCAAGTGCGCAATGCGCCGACAGAGATGTTGCAATTTTTGCAATAAGGATCTTGTTGCAAAAATTAGAGAAGAGGTTGTGCAACATGGGTCTTGTTGCAGGAAATTAGAGAAGAGAAGGTTTTTGCAAAGAGTCTTGTTGCAGAAAATTAGTGAGGAAATTAGAGAAGACAGCTCGTACCAACGAATTGGACAGCTCGCGGCGTAAAAAGATTGGCCGGCCGACGCATGGTATGGCCCTTTTGATTGTAAAATCTGTGCTAATCAGCACACATTTTGTAGAGACAAGAGATCTGTAGACAAATCACTAAGGCTAATCATAGTGGAAGTAACTTAGCGAGTAACATAACACGGCAGAATCTCCTCTCCCTAGAAGAATCCTCACTGGCACCCGGAATAAGGTATACAGGGGCACAAGCTATAGCTTTCATCAAGGGACTGGTTGGATTTAAATACAAATACGATCATCCTATTAGCAAACGTAAGAATAGGAGGGAAATTACAGATCCGGTACTATGCCAAAGCTCTACTGTGCAGTGTATATATCTCAATACATGCCGAGCCGTGTCCTCTCTCCCGACAAAACTGAATACCGTGAGAGCACCTAACAAAGCAAACTAAACGAGGTTTTGTTGCAGCCTTCTGGTTTCCCATCTTATTCAGCAGCCCTGCAGAGAAGCAGATGAAGTTGGAGACTGTTCCATGCCCGGTTCACGTCAATGGCTGCTGGTGTGTTTCAAGGGTTTAGTGGCTCATCTTCTGCTGTCATCTCTGCGGCTTCTGCAGAAATTTGATCTTGTGGTTAGCAATTTGTTAAGTCGGCGTCTAATTCCAAGAGAGAAAATGGCATTTGCTTGCATCAAAATTGAAATGAATGAAGACAACATACTAGTTGATCTGTGAAGGTCGGACACGAACATCAGCCGCCTCTGCAAAATTGCTGCGATGAATAGGAAAATGGAGCACATACCAAACATGACAGCGATTGGGAAGGCATTCACCTGCAAAATAATATTCGTAGGAAGAGCATTATTGGGGATGAGTAATGACGCTTCAGCTTGTTTTAGTAGAATCTTTCTTTAAGCAGGTACTCAGTCAAAATTAAATTCGATTTTTGTTTTGTATTGTTTTGTTATTGCACTGCATTACCAAAAAGGAAAGCCAGAGAGTTGGAATTGAGAAGGCTTTGCTGCTTACATTGTAAAGCACCACACATACAAACAGGTTAAGTGGTATGCGGAAGAAGTTCATGATAGTGCTTCTCGCCTCCTCAGGGATATATTGAGATCTCATCTTCATGATTGACGGCCAGAATATGCCAACACATGACTCGAATATGCAGAAACCAAGAAGTTGTACACTGCCTCCAAATGAGATGCTTCCACCTTTCTCTGAGGGAGGTACTATGAACTGTTGAACAGAGATAGTTGATAGTAACATTTAGATTGTAAGACTAAAACAAAGGAAACAACCAATGTAGCTATGTGTAGCAGACTTACATTGGTAACAACAGGGAGGAAAAGAGTGAAAGCTGATATCGAGAACACGATCTGCATATAACCTTCGACCTTCATCTTCCGAGCTAATAGACGAGATGCAATTGAGCTACCCAACATCGAGGAGAGCATGAATGTGGCAAATATGAAGCCATGAGGAATGTCTTCATCATTTGGGCTCAAAGCAGGAGTCCACAAGAAAACAAAAGTGTACATTGAACCCTCAAACAGTGACTGTATGGCTCCAAGCAATGCAATCTTTTCATCTGAAATATTATGAGAAATGCATCAATCCTCAGCATTAAGTTTTAAGACAATTATTATGTCCTTTCTTATGCCAAGACAGGCTAAACTTACCAGAAGCAATGGCTTTAGCTGCAACCTTAAACTGGGCCATCAAGTCCTTTCCTTCAGATGCATCTCCATAGTTCTCACCCCACGACGATAAGATGATTGCCATGCCTATTGCTAGGAAGCAAGCGGCAGCATCAAATGGAGCGACAGGGCCAAAACCCAAGTTATCAGCCAGTAGATTTGCAAATAGCCCTGCGACAATGGCAACTAGGCCATTCCCAAGAAATATAGCCTTGGAGAATGTTATTGACAGCCACTGCGGATCAAAACCTCTCTGCACAATCACAAGGTAGATTTGCACACTGTCAGTCAAAAAAATCAAGGGTGTCTTCCAAGAGGAAGCCCCCGAAAACATTGAAAAAAAATATCATGCAGTAGGTTAATCATAAAAGGTACATATGTTTAGGCAAAATAGAACAGTGGATTGTACTGAACAGGAAACAACAGAGTACTCATGATAGTTGTATGCATCAATTAGTTTCCAGAGCAAATGGGTAATTCTCAGAAGGTTTACCCTGAAAAACTTCGATTTAATATTGTCATGGTTTTAATTTCTGGTGATTCCTGACCACGTGGGAACGGTGGAACACCAGATCTGCCCACACAGGGACTAGATCTCAAATAAACATATACAAAGGAACTTGGACTGCTGACAGAATGTGTGCAAGAGAGTTAACCGCTGATAAGAGTTCCACAATTAGACCTCAGATACTAGTGCAGTTAGTATGTTTAACTGTGCATTGCATGTCGGTGTAGATGCAGACAGCGGGGGTCACGAAGCTTCACTATAAATGTGTTCTTATACATATCTTTTCAGTTTTATATACCTCGAAGTCATTTTATATACACAAGTTGTGATGTACAGCAGTCAACTCCCCCGGATCCAATAAAATTTGGTTAGCTTCAGCACACCACTTGTATGCTGAGCACTAACGCAAATACACATAATTAAAGGCACAAAATATCCAAAGATGTAGATATAGCTAATTATTAAGCGGGAGCAGAGGGGTCGTTTCTGAACGAAGCTGAAGCTGGACAACACAACGTACTGAAAGGCACGTAGATCTGGGTGAGAACAGTTACCTTGTTGTGCTCCGCGACGAGCCACGACTCGAACGCCGAGAAGAGCAGCGATGTTGCAATGCCTCCAAGCACGCGGCCAATCATCAGAATCCTGTACTGCGGGGAGTGCTTCGTGATGCAGCTGAGGATGTAGGTGATGCAGTAGGTGATGCACGCCCTCTTCCTTCCCCTGCGAACGACCACCCAAACCCTCATCAGCCATCGGGGCATACCGACGAAATCGACGCAACTCCGCCAAGGAAGGAAGGGGCGACCACGCACTGCTTGTCGGCGAGCGACCCGACGATGGTGCCGAAGAGCATGGAGGAGCCGAATCCGGCGATGAAGAGGCGGCCGATGTCGCCCTTGTCGAACCCGTACTGGCTGTAGAGGTAGTACACGTAGGGCCCCTGCAGCCAGTCCCCAGCTGCACCGCCGGCACCAGCGCACGATTCAGGCATCAGAAAATCGAGAGACGAGCCAGCATTGCGCCGCCCGGGTTCAGATCTGGGGGAATTAGGAGGGGGGGAGCGGAGGGAGAGGGGTTAGGCGCGTGCGTACACATCATGAGGGAGTAGACGAGGACGTAGTTGTTCTTGAAGGAGTTGAAGGCCGTCGGGGTGGCGACGCGGTCCTTGCCGGACTTGCCGAGCTCCAGCGCCGCCACGACGGCGGCGAGGCCGCCGAAGACGAGGTAGTAGAACACCTCCATGGCGGGGCCGAGGTGCGGAGGGGATCGCGATTCGGGGGCTGGCGAATGCGATTGGGTCGGTTTGTTATAGGAGAATGGATTTTATACGCGCAGCGGCGGGCGTGTCATCTCATCTGCGTCGGATTTCGGGGCAGTGGGCACTGAGGGTGCGCGTGCCGGACGTTTGGTTGTGTCGCACTCGCTCGCCAGTTGGTGCGGTGGTGCCAGCCTGCCTGCAAATCGTCGGCTTCCTTCATTTATTTTTTGTCACAAAACAGTAGTACAGACCAAGAAATTACAATTGTGACAAGTATTGAATGAATATCGTGCAAGTTCTGGACAAATTGGTGAGTGAAGGGAAGTGTAGTATCTTGGTATTTTATCTATGGTGCATTTGAACCGAAGTGATAGTTTCTCTCATCTTGTTGAAAGAGTTGTGAATCGGCTTGAAGGTTCGAACAAAAAGTTGATGTCGTTAGGTGGGAATAAAATTCTTTTGATACCCGTTATCCAGTCTATTCCTATGTATGCTATGGTTGTTTTCAAAATCCCAAAAAAAAAGTGTGCAAAGAAATTACAGATGTAACAGAAGCCTTTTGGTGAGGGGACACACAGGAGGAAAAGAAAATGCATTGGCTAGCTTGATGGAGGATGTGTCTTCCAAAAGATAAGTGGGGCATGGGGTTTAGCGATTCGGGTGCATCTAATTCAGCCATGTTAACCAAGCGAAGGTGGAGAATGATAACTCACTTTGTTACTCTTTGTGCTACGTTCTTAAGAGCGAAGTACTTTTCTGATGGAAAAGTTCAAAAAGCAAACACTTTTCTAATGGAAACATTCTGAAGGCATGACCAAAAAAGGGGTCATTGTTTACTTGGCGGAGTATCTTCGTTTGTCTTCAAAAGTTCAGGAGTGAGCATATTTGATGAGAAATAAATATTTGGGAGGACCACTAGGTACCTTCTAGCCCAACAAGAATAATTCAGTCAAGGAGAGGGAATGTTTTGCTGAGAACAGTGGTTGAGCTTATTAATCCCATACGGGAACATGTGATGAGGATCTTGTAAGGAATATTTTCCTTCCGGTTGATGCAGAAAGGATTTAGAGAATCCCCCTCTCAGTGCAACTTAATGAGGACTTTGTAGTATAGCATACGACCAAATCATATTCTTTCTTTGTTCGGTCAGCCCACTACAGAGTGGGAACATTAGCTTGGTGCTAAAATCATTAGTGTTGAAGAGACATAAAATGTTAATTCAGTATGGCTGGCTTTTTGGAAGTAAGGAACACTAAGCAAAATAAAAGTCTTTATTTGGTGCACTGTCAAAGGAGTTGCTCCCGATATGGCAGGCTTCTCCCTCGGCATGTAAAAGTTTCGTCAGAATGCCCTATATGTTCCTCGGGCCCTCAAGACATTTGTCACTTGATATTTACATGTAACCGAGCATAGAAAAGTTTGGAAGGCTCTAGATCTGAACATGGTCATTGATCAAGCCTTGGTGGTGGATCGTTCAGGCTCAATGGTCTTGGAAGAAATTCTTCATGGTCGAGTAGGAAGTCTCTGGAGTTAGGGCAGCTCAACTTGCAAGAAACAGTGGTTGTAGCTTCTTGGTACATCTGGTGGGAGCGGAGAGAAGCAAGGGAAGGCAAGAATGTCAAGTGTCCATTTAGCTCAGCTTTCGCCATTTAGGTACTGACAGCAAATTATGCATAGAAACTTCCTCGAGAGCATGCAAAAAGAGTAGGCTGGGAGAAACCTCACCTCCCGGTACCTAAAAGTTGGACACTGATGCATCTTTTTTTGAAGATGGAACCGGCTCAACAGTTGTTGTTCTTCGTAACAGCTACGAGGAAAGAAATTACCGGAGCTGTAGAAATATTTGACCATGTCTTTGTTGGGGAACGTAGCAATAATTCAAAAAAATTCCTACGTGTCACCAAGATCAATGTAGGAGATGCTAGCAATGAGAGAGAGGGAGTGCATCTTCATACCCTTGAAGATCGCTAAGCGGAAGCGTTACAAGGAACGCAGATGATGGAGTCGTACTCGCGGCGATTCAAATCACGGAAGATCCGATCTAGCGCCGAACAGACGGCGCCTCCATGTTCAACACATGTACATCCCGGGGATGTTTCCTCCTTCTTGATCCAGCAAGGGGGAAGGAGAAGTTGAGGGAGAACTCCGGCAGCACGACAGTGTGGTGGTGGAGCTTGCAGTTCTCCGGCAGGGCTTTGCCAAGAACTACGGAGGAGGAGGAGGTGCTGGAGAGGGGAAGGGCTGCGCAAGGGGAAGGTTACGACAGCCCTCCCACCCCCTCTATTTATAGGGTGAAGGGAGAGGAGGCCGGCCCCCCTAGATGCATCTAGAGGGGGCGGCGGCCAAGGGGGGAACTTGCCCCCCAAGTTAGGTGGGAGGCGCCCCCACCCCCTAGGGTTTTCAACCCTAGGCACCTTGGGCCCTTGGGGGGGCACTAGCCCACCAGGGGCCGGTTCCCTCCTTTGTTCAGCCCATTTGGCCCACCGGGGCAGGTGGCCCCACCCGGTGGACCCCCGGACACCTTTCGGTGGTCCCGGTACAATACCGATAACCCCTGAAATTATTCCGGTAACTGAAACTGGACTTCCTATATATAATTCTTCACCTCCGGACCATTCTAGAACTCCTCGTGACGTACGGGATCTCATCCGAGACTCCGAACAACCTTTGGTAACCACATACTATTCCCCATAACAACTCTAGCGTCACCGAACCTTAAGTGTGTAGACCCTACGGGTTCGGGAACCATGCAAACATGACCGAGACATCTCTCCGGCCAATAACCAACAGCGGGATATGGATACCCATGTTGGCTCCCACATGTTCCACGATGATCTCATCGGATGAACCATGATGTCGAGGATTCAATCAATCATGTATACAATTCCCTTTGTCTATCGGTATGTTACTTGCCCGAGATTCGATCGTCGGTATCTCTATACCTCGTTCAATCTCATTACTGGCAAGTCTCTTTACTCGTTCCGTAACGCATGATCCCATGGCTAACTCCTTAGTCACATCAAGCTCGTTATGATGATGCATTACCGAGTGGGCCCAGAGATACCTCTCCGTCATACGGAGTGACAAATCCCAGTCTCGATTCGTGCCAACCCAACAGATACTTCCAGGGATGCCTGTAGTGCACCTTTATAGCCACCCAGTTACGTTGTGACGTTTGGTACACCCAAAGCATTCCTACAGTATCCAGGAGTTGCACAATCTCATGGTCTAAGGAAATGATACTTGACATTAGAAAAGCTTTAGCAAATGAACTACACAATCTTGTGCTACGCTTTCTCCATCACATCATTCTCCTAATGATGTGATCCCGTTATCAACGAAATCCAATGTCCATGGTCAGGAAACCATGACCATCTATTAATCAACGAGCTAGTTAACTAGAGGCTTACTAGAGACATATTACGATCTATGTATTCACACATGTATTACGGTTTCCGGTTAATACAATTATAGCATGAACAATAAACAATTATCATGAACACAGAAATATACTAATAACCAATTTATTATTGCCTCTAGGGCATATTTCCAACAGTCTCCCACTTGCACTAGAGTCAATAATATAGTTACATTGTGATGAATCGAACACCCATAGAGTTTTGGTGTTGATCATGTTTTCCTCGTGGAAGAGGTTTAGTCAACGGTCTGCGACATTTAGATCTATATGCACTTTACAAATATCTATGTCTCCATCCTGAATATATTCATGAATGGAGTTGAAGTGATGCTTGATATGCCTGGTCTTCTTGTGAAACCTGGGCTCCTTGGCAAGGGCTATAGCTCCAGTGTTGTCACAGAAGAGAGTCATCGGGCCCGACGCATTGGGAATGACTCCTAGGTCGGTGATGAACTCCTTCATCCAGACTGCTTCTTGTGCTGCCTCCGAGGCAGCTATGTACTCCGCTTCACATGTAGATCCCGCCATGATGCTTTGCTTGCAACTGCACCAGCTGATTGCCCCACCATTTAAAATATACATGTATCCGGTTTGTGACTTGGAGTCATCCAGATCTGTGTCGAAGCTAGCATCGACGTAACCCTTTATGACGAGCTCTTCGTCGCCTTCATAAACGGGAAACATATCCTTAGTCCTTTTCAGGTACTTTAGAATATTCTTGACCGTTGTCCAGTGTTCCATACCGGGATTACTTTGGTACCTCCCTACCAAACTTACGGCAAGGTTCACATCAGGTCTGGTACACAACATGGCATACATAATAGACCCTATGGCTGAGGCATAGGGGATGGCACTCATATTTTCTCTATCTTCTGCCGAGGTCAAGAATTGAGCCGTGCTTAATTTCACACCTTACAATACAGGCAAGAACCCCTTCTTGCACTGATCCATATTGATCTTCTTCAATATCTTGTCAAGGTATGTGCTTTGTGAAAGACCAATGAGGCGTCTCGATCTATCTCTATAGATCTTGATGCCTAATATGTAAGCAGCTTCTCCAAGGTCCTTCATTCAAAAACACTTATTCAAGTAGGACTTTATGCTTTCCAAAAGTTCTATATCATTTCCCATCAATAGTATGTCATCCACATATAATATGAGAAATGCTATAGAGCTCCCATTCACTTTCTTATAAACACAGACTTCTCCATAAGTCTGCATAAACCCAAACACTTTGATCATCTCATCAAAGTGAATGTTCCAACTCCGAGATGCTTGCACCAGCCCATAGATGGAGCGCTGGAGTTTACATACCTTGTCAGCATTCTTAGGATTGACAAAACCTTTCGGCCGCATCATATACAATTCTTCCTTAAGGAAAACATTAAGGAATGCTGTTTTGATGTCCATTTGCCATATCTCATAATCATAGAATGCGGCAATTGCTAACATGATTCGGACGAACTTCAGCTTCGCTACGAGTGAGAAGGTCTCATCGTAGTCAACCCCTTGAACTTGTCGATAACCCTTAGCAACAAGTCGAGCCTTATAGATGGTCACATTACC